GATGTGGGACTCGATCCCGGGACTCCGGGATCATGACCTGAGCCGAAGGCAGTCGCTTAACCAACTGAGCCACCCAGGCGCCCCTCAAATGATTTTTCATATGGGTGTGTGTCTACCAAACAATACTACGTGCCCTAACCTTTGAGATTCTGGCTTTCGAAAACATAGAGGCTTTACTTCCATAAAAAAAAAAAAAAGGCTTTACTTCCATAAAAATCTCCATTGTTTTCTTCCCCAAATAACTGAAAACATCTGCAAACTCTTATTGTTTTCTGAAATACTGTCTTCCATAGCTTATAAACTAAAGTGCTAATTATCTGGTTTGTAGAATTGGACAGAAAATATAAACCACCATGCAAATCAAAAGTCAAAAATGGCTGCTTCTTCCCCAAATGGCCCCCTAGTGCTAAGCTACAGCAGAAGGAGAGTGCAAGAGATTATGCCTCTGACCTGTGTCCCCCAACCAAACTTAACTCACCTTCAATGTCACGACCTTGAGTGGTAAAGTTTTCTTATGTGGGGACTCCTCATCAACAGAGATTTCTTCAAAGTCGGCAGAAATTGTGTCAGACCGGAGAAGAGGGGGGCTGTAGCTGGAGTGGCGTGGGCACAATGAGGGGAGCTGCCAAGGAGGAGAGTAGAAGGAAAAAAGTTAAAACTTGTGTGCTTTCCTCCAAATTACTGGCGTTCTCTTCTTGCTTAATGGTTGAAAGACTAAGACCACAAAACGAAAAAACAAGCCAAGAAAAGATCTCCTTCCTCCCTGTCTTCACTTCTGGTACCTATGCAAACCAAAGACCAATAGCCTTGGGCCATGCTCTGGGTTGTGGCACACTTTTGCCAATCCCCAAACAAAGACAGAAACTTTGAACTGCTTGTTTGATCAAAACCAGAATTCTGGTGTTCTCTCTCTACTGATGCTAACTATAAATCTTCTTTGAGTCTGATTTGTTTTGATTTTGGCCTTGTCTTTGGAAGTCTGGTTCTTGGGGAGGTTGAGTTTTGGGGTTAAGATCTAGGCTTGGCATCCAAACTATAATCCTTGCTCCTATCATTTCAGGAATTGTCTGGATCAGATCTTGACTGATAACAACCAACAGGTTGTTTATCTTAATCCTGTCAAGATTGATCTTAGGGAATTATTAGAAAATCTACAGAACTAGCCCTGATTAGAACTGCTTTCCTAGATTTCCTAAGGAGATAAAATTGATCATTTGGGTTCTCCTTGGGCTTCAGCACACAATTTAGTTCATTCCAATTTGAACCTCATGGCACACTTGAATCTGAGGCACTGGTCTCTGCCATGGTCATTTGGATGCGGATCAGAATCTCTGATTTGATCTTTAACAAATACTGGTTAAACATCTACAGTGTGCCACACCCCATTCTAAGCATTGGGCCTATGGTAATGAACAAAACAAAATCTTTGCTGACCTGGAGCTGACATGCTTTCTTCTGTCTCCTGTTCAGGACAGATGGCCTTCAAACTCTCAAAACCAAAGACAAGGGGCCCCGAGGAGGATTTGTCCAAGGTTCTGCCCCTGGAGAACTCCTGGCTAGTGTCTAAGGTGCCCCCTTATTACTAGCAGGCCCCACTGGGGGCTCCTGAGAAGAAGTCTCGGAACTTCACCAGCCCCAAGCCCGATTCTAATAACAATAATGACAACTAACTTTTACTGAGGGCTTTACTCTGCTTTAATCTGCATTATTTCCTTCCTTTTGCTAGCTTTGGGTTTAGTTTGCTCTTCTCTTTCTACTTCCTTCAGATGAAGGGTTAGGTAATTAGGTTATTGATTTGAGATCTTTCTCCCTGCCAGGCCGGGAGTGTTCTTCATAGATGCGTTTCATTCGAAACTTGCAACAATTCTTTGAAGCACCTGCTCTTTCCCGATGGGGAAAACCAGGTCTGAGAGATGACGTGACCGGCCCTCATTCTCACAGTGGCCGAACAAGCATTTGAAAGGTCTGCTTGCCTTTAGAGCCCATGTTCTTAACCACTGTGCACTCCTGTCTCCTAACTGTAAGAGCCAGGAAGAGGGGATGTCCCATACTCAAGTTCAGGGAGTTTAAAGGCAACAACCAGAAGAGAGGGTGTGCCTCCTTCCTTAAGAGGGTGTGCCTCCTTCCTTAAGAAGGGCCTCCTTCCTTAAGAAGAGTTAGGTCTGTGAGCAGTAAGAAAACTGCTTTGCAGCCTTTGCAGTTTCTTAAATTACCGAATTCAATTTGTTTGCACAAGAAGATGTTCACAATCTGCCAGTACCTCTTATCTATTTGTCCTCAAACAAAAAGGACATGAAATGTCTTGGAGAGTAATCTGGGCACCCACATTCTTAACACTTCAGATAAGACAGCAGGTGAAAATCTGGCAGAGGATAAAACACCGGTTCAGTCTTGGTATTTCTAAAAGAACGATACACCGGAGGTTCCTCTCCCACAATCTCCCAGTTGCTCTGAATGTCACATGATCCATTACGGATCCTGCCCCTTCAAGGAACCCAGCCATTGGCCATTTCCCTACTTGCTCAGCATCTATGTACCCCGGGGGGGGGGGTCAGGACCCTCGACTTGATGCTATCCACCACCCTGTCATTTAGGGTTGTGACCTTGGCACTTAAGGGAAGTCTCCCATGCAAAGATCGATCTGATGGTTGATGGCTCAGGTTTGGTTAACACCCTACCCTGTCTTCAGCCCTCTCAGAAGAGGGACCACGGGAGCAGACCAAAGATGTGAGGAGGGGGCCCAAACCAGCCATTTAAGAAAACTTGTCTTTGGGCTGTCATGGTTTTCCCTATCCACCCCCTTCATTGCGAGAGGAAATGCCCCTAGAATCTTTACTTTTAATTTTCAACCCCCTCTCCCCCCAAATCATCCTTCTAGAGCAATGGCATGTCTGCTCTGAGAGTCTCTCTGTTGCTAGGACTAAGAGAAGAGGGAGAGAGGGAGACTTCCAGGACCCAAGTTTCCCCTTCCTTCCTTTCTTTTTTTAAAATAGTGTTTTATTTTTTATTAACATATAATGTATTATTTGTTTCAGAGGTACAGGTCTGTGATTCATCAGTCTTACACAATTCACAGCGCTCACCATAGCACATACCCTCCCCATGTCCATCACCCAGACACCCCATCGCTCCCACCCAGGTTTCCCCTTTCTGCATGTGAGAAATCACCCTGTAGCACTTGGTCATGTACATCTGGATTTTTGCCACTGGGTGGCAAGGGAGTGTCGCTGTGGAGACAAGCAAAAGCTCGTGTTGGTGTTCAAAACTGAGGATTAGAAGTGACTTTTCCTGCTGTGGTGCAAGAGGGCAGGAGTCCGCTGACCTAGGGCCTGCTTTATAACTATAAGATCAGCCCCACTTCTGACAAACTCAGTGTTTGCTTGTCTGCCCTCGACGGTTAATGTAGCCAGCAGAACTTTCACACACGGTACAGAAACCAGAGTGAGAAATATGGGGTCTTAAACAGACGTGTCACCAGTAAGCCCCAGTGACCTTTTGCCAAATGCAAAATCATCAGCTCCTCAGTGGAAAAGGGTCTCCCCCTTGTGTGGCCTTCTCAGTTACCCAGGGATCCTTGGGTATCATCCTGCCCACAAGCTGAGAGAAGGAGGAATGTAGCTGCTTAGGGTGATCTCCCTGACAATATTTCCAGCTCGCCCCTGGAACATTTCTAGATCAGAGCTCCAGAAGAGTCTAACTGAGCAATGGTTAGGGTTATCTGGAGGTAAAAGACTGCTCTATGCATGTGCATAGACTAAAGGTATACCCTTCTCCCTGCTGAGGCAGGCACAAAGAAATTGAATATCTTAAAGCCTGGGATGTTGGAAAGACCGTGGGTTTTGAGGTCAATGCATCTGGGTCAGGTTTTCAGGTCTACCATTTACTATCTGGGTGAGACTGAGCAATTTCTTTAACCTCTCTGAGTATTCTATCCTCACAAGCAATTGTTTGAGGTAGAGATTAATATTATACCCACTGTAGATGAGGAAAGGAAGGCTCAGAGAGGTCAAGCAATCAGCCCAAGATCACAGAGCCAGTAAGTAGCAGAGCGAGAATTCAAGCATAAGTCTGTCTGTCTGACTCAGCTGCCATACTTGGCCCAATTCCCCTCTATTACCTCAGTGATCTTGGAGTCCCCAATCCACATTCCACTTCTGGGCACATGAAGGGGCACAGCTCCAAACATAAGTCCAGAAACAGCTCCATGCACATTACTAGTCCCAGATCTAGGCAGAGTTCTGGAGACTTGAGATCTCTGTAGAAGAACGAAAGAACATGGAGGTTGGAATGCCTACACATTAACCAACAGTGGAATGTCACCATCATAAGACTTAACGCATTCTTGGGGTGTGTCAAGTGAATATGGTAATGCTAGCCAACACTGTGTGCTGGGCACTAGGTCAGCGCATCGTGTATTTCTACACTCTCCCTTCTTTACAATGGCCCTGTGGGGTAGAATCAGGTGGGGAGCAAGGCCATATTCCCCCCTCCTTGTTTTTTGGCAGATTGGGATGGGGTGGGGGGGAAGAATGAAAGAGGAGGAGTCTAATTAGGCACTGATGCTTGAGTTCACTCTTACCTGTAGAGGTCTGCCTTTCTGGGGCTCTGGAGAGGGGCAGATTCTACTTACTGATATTTCAGGCTCAGAATCCAACATGAAGATGCTGTCGTGGGACAGGGCTTTGCTGCCCATGCTGCTCCTGGCCCTGAACAGGAAGGAAAAGGTCTTGTAAGAGCAGCCCAAGGGCTGTAGGAACTGAAGACATGTGTATATCCACAGCATGACATATCACAGACACCTCAGAAAGGGGGCAAGGATGCACAGGTGCTGACAGAGAAGGTTTTCCATGAGATATGAAGTGAAAAAATAAAGAATAGTATGCTCTCATTTAATATATATACCCAAGGGCACCTGGGTGACTCAGTGGGTGAAACGTCTGCCTTCGACTTGGGTTATGATCCCCGGGTCCTGAAATTGAGTCCCGCATCCGGCTCCCTGCTCAGCGGGGTGTCTGCTTCTCCTTCTGCCCCCCCGACTTGTGCTCTCTCTCTCTCTCTCTCTCTCAAATAAATAAATAATATATATATACCTATATTACATACACATATAGTTTATGTTCATAGAAAAAAATCAAGAAGGATATCCACCAAATAATTAGTGGCAGCTCCCTCTGGGGAATGGCATTGGGGGCAGGGGGAAGGAACCTTAATTTCCTACTTTATGTACTTCTGTATAATTTTGATTTTTTAAATTATCAACACATATCTTTTTTATATAATGGTTTTGAGATATGGTTTACATACCATACAATTCACTCATTTAAAGTGTACAAGAGCAGCAATGCTGTGGAATGGGAGGGAAGACCCTAAGTCTTTCTATTATTAAGGTAAGAGTTATAAAAGATCTTTCACACCCAAATTTCTCTCTAGTGTTTTTGTTTTGATTTAAAATACCAAACATCTGCCCAGATACTGGAGACCCTCATTCACTAGATCTTTTCCTCTTTCACACAAGGGCTCTGGGATACATGTGTCTGATTTTCAAAGCCATCTTATGCACCCACCCCCAGCTTGTTAACCCAGATGCAAATACCTTCTGATTGGGAATAAAACCAGGCTGACAACAATTAAGCATTAAGGCAAATCAGGGGAAAGTTAGAAACAAATGAAGGGCTAACGGCACAAAAGACTCCTTTTGGAATGCTGGGAATATATTTTACCTGTGAAAAATTTCAACCAAAGACATCACAAGAAAAGAAGACTACAGACTAATATCTCTTATGAAATAGATGTAAGAATCTTCAGTAAAATACTAGTAATCTGAATCTAGCAACATAAAGAATTATACACTATTACCAAGTAGAACTTGCAAGGAATGTGAGGTTATCTTAATATATGAAAATCAACATAATACGCCATATCAACAGAATAAAAACAAAAACTGTGGGGTCATTTCAATAAATACAGAAAAAGCATTTGTAAAATCCAAATACATAATAGATACACTCATGATAAATACTCTCAACCTTGACAGAGGACGTCTGTGAGAAACTCTCAGCTAATGTCACACTTAATGATGAAAGACTGAATGTTTTCTCCCTCAGATCAGGGACAAGACAAGGATGTCTGCTGTTGCCACTTCTATTCAACTTTGTCCCAGGGGTTCTAGCCAAGGTAATTAGGTAAGAAAATTAAATAAAAGGCATCCATATTGGACAGGAAAACGTGAAATTATCTCCAATCATAGATGACACAATCTTGTGTATAAAACTCCTAAGGAATCCAATAAAAACTACTAGAACTAATACATGAGTTCAGCAAGGCTACAGGATAAAAGACCAATATGTAACAACTGATTGTATTTCTATATACTTGCAATGAACAACCCAGAAGTGAAATGACAAAAACACTTCCAATTTTCAACATTTATAATAACATCAATAAGATTAAAACATGTAGGAATAAATTTAATGAAAAGTGTGTCAAAATTATACTCTGAGCACTCTAAAACACTGATGAAAGAAGTTAAAGAAGAAAACCTAAGCAAATGAAAAAGCAACCTATGCTCAGGGCCCTGGAAGCCTTAATCTTGTCAAGATGGCAATAGTCCGCAAATTGATCTACAGATTTGATGTGATCACTATTGAAATTCCAGTTGCCTTTTTTCTTTTCTTTGGCAGAAGTGGGCAAGATAATCTTTAAATTCATCGTGAAATGTAAGGGGCCACAAACTGATAAAACAATCTTGAAAAAGAAGAACAAAGTTGGAGAACTGACACTTGCCAATTTCAAAACTTACTACCAAGCTACCGTAATCAAGACAGTATAGTACTGCCATGAGGATAGACATATAGATCAATGGAATAGAATTGAGAGTCCAGAAATCAACTCATCCATCTATGGTTAATCGATTTGCAAAAAGGGTGCCAAGACCATTCAATGGGGAAAGAATAGTTTTTTCGACAAATGATGCAGAGACAACTAGAAAGATACATACAGAAGGGAGAAGTTAGACCCTATCTCATACCATATATAAACATGAACTCAAAATGGATCAAAGACCGAAATATAAGAGCTAAAACTCTTAGAAGAAAACACTGGGGGGTATATCTTCATGACCTGGATTTGGCAATGGATTCTTAGAATATGATTCCAAAAGCTTAAGCAACTGAAGAAAAAAATAAATGGATTTGATCAGAATTAAGCTTCGAAGGATACTAGCAAGAAAGTGAAATGACAACCCACATAAAGCGGGGGGGGGGATATTTTCAGATTGCATACCTTTTTTTTAAAGTTTATTTATTTATTTATTTGAGAGAGAGAGAGCAGAGCAAGCAAGAGAGAACACGAGTGGGGGGGAGGGGCCGAGGGAAAGGGAGGAGCAAACGCCCCCCCCCGCCCCGGGGCAGGGAGCTTGATGTGGGGCTTGACACCAGGACCCTGGGATCATGACCAGAGCCAAAGGCAGACACTTAACCGACTGAGCCACCCAGGTGCCCCTGCAGATTGTATATTTGATAAGGGATTCATATCTGGAATACATGAGGAACTCTTACAATTCAATAATAAAAAGATAAATAACCCAATTTTTTAAATGCAAAGGATCTCAATAGATATTTCTCCAAAGAAGATATACAGAGAGCCAACAAGCACATGAAAAGATGCTCAGCCTTTCACTAGCCAGTCAGGAAATATAAATCCAAACCATAATGAGATAGCTACCACTTCAGACCCAGTAGAATGGCTAGAAACAAAAACTCAGAGAGTAACAAGTGTTGGCAAGGTTGCGGAGAAGTTGGAACCCCCACGCGCTGCTCGTGGGAATGTAAAATGGTGCAGGCAGGCATTTTGGAAAACAGTCTGGTGGTTTCTCAAAAACATGAACATTAAATTACCATATGACCCAGTATACTCCTAGGCATATACCCAAGAGAAATAAAAACATACATTCATCCAAAAACTTGTACACAAATGTTCACAGCAGCATTCTCCATAATAGCCAAAAGATGGAAACACCCAAATATCTGTCATCTGATGAACAGATAAAATGTGGTGTATTCAAACACTGGAATACTACTCAGTAGGATGAAGGAATTAAGTATTGGATTTATGCTACCACATGGATGACCCTGGAAAACAAAGACATGCTAAGGGAAACAAGCCAGTCACAAAGGCCACATACCATATGATGCCATTTATAGGAAGTATCCAGAATAAGCAAACTGATAGAGACAGAAAGTAGATAAGTGATCACTTTGGGCTGGAGTGGGGAGGGACTGGGGATTGACTGCTAATGGGTACAGAATTTCTTTTAGGGAAGGGTGGAAATTTTAAATTAGATAAAATAATTGTTTAAAATTTCATGTACTTTTTTTGCACTTATTACCTTTATTACAAAACATTTACTGTAATAGATGTAGGTTGGCACTCTAAAAAACATTTTTTTCCCTAAGTAGGGCTTCACGCCCAATGTGGCACTTGAACTCGTGACCCTGAGATCAAGAATTGCATGCTTTACTGAGCCAGCCAGGCACCTCTAAAAAACAATCTTTTTTTTTTTGAGAAAGAGAGTAAGAGTGAGCGGGGGGAGGGGAGGAGCAGAGGGAGAGAGAGTCTTAAGCAGGCTCCACACCCAATGCAGAGCCCATTGAGGGGCTCGATCTCACAACCCTGAGATCATGACTTGAGCTGAAATCAAGAGTCTAACACTCAACCGACTGAGGCACCCAGGCACCCCCCTAAAAAACAATCTTTAAGTGGTACCCAGAGTAGCAGCTCGGGCACTGTAGGACCAGCCTCCACCCCATCATTGTGAGCCTGTCTGACTGTGGGACATGCACATGGGTAGATCTGATAACCACATGCTCCGAGGACAATCTGGTGTTATGGGGATTAAAATGGCACCCATACTAAGGTAGCTTGGGGCCAGCAAGAGGAGAGGAGGCAGATGCCTTCGTACTACCCACTTCTTCCTCTGCCCCCACTCCCTCCTGTCCTCCCCCCACCCCGCAAGCCCCGTGCGCACTTGCCTTCTTAGTGTGGAGAATGCATCAGAACCAATGGACCATCTTGGAGGCAGAGGGACAAGTCGGAAGGGGGAAATGCAGAACTTTAGAAGAGATGGCCCTTGCTGATTTGTAGAGACGAGGCAGAGTAGACCCAAACTCCCCTCTCCCCTCCCCCACCCTCTGGTTTATAGCAGGGCTTGCGTAGGCTCACTGGGAGCTATTGGGTTGTAGTCTATATCATGGCATGATTTATGAGGTATGAAACAAACCCCTCTGTCCAGAACCATCTCCCCCCACCACCAGCAAAGCTATCTGAAATTCCTCACACTCAATGCATTCATGAAGGGCCTCCTGAAGGAGACCGAGGTGCTGTCACGTTTGCTGACTGTCCCATTTCCAGCAAGCAGAGCCTCAGGGGAAGGGGTCACGGCACAGGTGAGCTCTGTGGGCAGTGCAGATAAGTCTGGAATCTTCGGGCCAGGGAAACAGGCCCAAGTGGAACTGCACAGAGGGGGAGCTGACGGAGCCAGGAAACAGCTGGGGGTACCAGATGGTCAGATATGGAAGTGGGGGCGTCACAGATGAAAACTGGAACAGGGGTGGCTTAGAACCAGTCTTCCCCATTCTGGGACCAGTTGCAGCATCTCCCTCTGCCCCGCCCCCCGTCTTCTGGGATGTTGCCTGCTCCTTTTCTTTGTTTGTTTTTTACATTAACACAAGTGATTTCTTGCCTTGGCCTCCACCTAGCTCGACCTGGCTTCAGCGTCTGAGATTTTAATCACACATTAAGAGATGGAGCCTCCCCCACCAAGTAAGCACAGGTCTATAGTCTGAGGGTCGGGCAGGCTAACCAGGCCCGGCTGCCCGCATGAGGCAGGCTGTCTTTACGTTATGGAACAGAGGCCTCCAGCGCCTCACTAGGGGTGGGCCGCATGGGTCACACAGCTGTGACAGGGGAGGGCCGCCCTGGTCTGTCTGTACCCAGTGCTCTCGAGGTCAGGGACGTGCAGCGGCCAACCTACTGAGCTCCGCACCCCAACAATAAGCATCGCTGTGAGCATGGAGAAGGGCCCCCAGGCCACGGCCACCCACCGGACCTTACCTGGCCTCAGTGCGCTGACCTTCCCGAACCGGCTTCAGAGAAGAGATGTTAATACTGCCGCTGGACAAGCTTGGCTTTAGCCTCCTCCCTCCCTGGGCATCTTCCAGCTCTTTTTTCTTCCTCTTGCCAAAAAGGTTCTTGAAGGCTTTGAATTTGGATTTCTTCTTTCCTGGAAGTTAAGGAAGGAGAGCGAGGCAGAGTGTGACAGTGGAAGGGGAGATGGGGAGGAAATGGGGCCTTTGTGACAGGAACAAGGACTGTGATCCCAGGTGCCCTGCAGACTTGGCCCTTGCCACCCCTCCCCACCCCGGGGCCCACGACACCACAACACCATGCATGTGGCCTGCTCCCTTCTTCATAACTCCGTAGAACAAAGTGTCTGAGTTCTGGGGAGAGCAGAAGCTCGGGCCCCAGCTTGTGGTCTTTGGGCAGGCATCTCTTCAGGCCCAACTCACGAGGCATCCACTTGCCTGGCCACTGCAACCCTGAACACACACCTCGTTCCTGACCCAAGAAGCTCATTCGTCTGCAGCAATTACTGAGCCCACACAAGCACGGGGTGCCCCCCTGACTTCACACTGGCGTCTGGAGTCACCGCCACCCAGCTGGGGAAGCGAGCTTCCACATGTGAGAAAGCCCCTCAGGACCCCTGGAGTTGCAGGTGGGAGCTGGGACTGGCCAGCTTGTGTGCTGAAAGGATGCAGATCCGCGGGGCGAGTGCAATCGAGGCGGTGCAGTCAGGGAAGCTGTCCTGGAGGAGGGAATTTAGGAGCATGGGAGAGGGCTGGGAATTGGGAAGAAAGGGCCACTGGGCAAAGAAGCTGCCTGTGCAAAAGGCATGACAGAATCAGATACCAAAGGGTTTTGCAAGGAGTGCGTGTATGCATGTGTGTGTGCGTGCATGTGTGTGAGCATGTGAGTGCGTGTGTGAGTGCATGCATGTGTGCATGCTTGAGTGCGTGCGTACGTGTGTCTGTATGCGTGAGTGCATGTGTGCCTGCATGCGTGCGTGCACTATGTGCACTGTGTGTGTTCTTCCATTTTTGCCGGTTGGTTTGGATTATCTAGGGGGCTACTGCCCTCTGCACCTGCAAATAATTGCAAGTTTGCGCTATCTACATTAACCACCAGGGCAGAAGCAAAGCATTGGAGCTTTAAATGCTCCTAAGGCTTTGTTAGGGCTTTTTGTAGTTTCCTAACAAGCACATGTATCTTTACTGGGGCTCAGCAGAAGAAGGACGAGGAGAGGGGAGTGCATGCTGCATTCTTCAGAGGGAAAGAATCAGCTCTTACTGCTTTCACATGCCATAATTTACCAGCATAGGTGTCTCATCCCAATTCTCAACAGTCTGGTCTCTGGAAGGCCTCTTACCAGCATAGCAATGTTGCCCTGGCAGGGAAGGGCCCAAGCAAGGGAGCTGCCAATGGGGCTGCCATTAGAAAGGCTTAGTGGTATAACGGAGAGTGCCACTCAAGAGTCAGAACAGCCTGGAATCCTCGACTTGGCTCTGCTATCAATTAGCTCTGTGACTTTGGGTAAGTCACTCAACCTCTCTGGAACTCAGCAGGAAAATGAAGGGATCACACCAGTCAGCATCTCCCAAAGTGCGTTCAGAGGGCTATCATTGGTCTATTGCATGAGAAAGGGATCTGCGGGCCAGTCATTCTGAGAAACGCTGGATTAGGCGAAGTTTAAGACTCTGCTTTCCAACAAGACTTTTCTGGAACTTCAACATGCCTATGTGAACAGAGAAGCTTTAAGATACTGGGCAGCAATGTTGTCTCCCAAATGCATGTAAGCAGAATGTCTGGCAAAACACACTATGGGAAATGCTGAACTAGGATTCCTTCTAGCTCTGGAATCCTATGGCCTATGAGAAAGGTTTCTAAACTTCAAGAATTGAAGGGACACTGGCATTCAGTCCAGTGTCCCACCAGTCACAACAATCAACCCTTCTCTCTGTATGCCTAAAACTTGACTGTTGGCCTTCCAAGTTTTACACCTGAATGCCCTCTAGTCTGCCTATCCATCCATCCATCCACCCATCCAACAAATATTTAAGACCAAGCACTTACTATGTTTTGGGTATCAATGAGAAAGGAATAAGATACAGTTCTGTGTCTTAGCTACTGTCCCCCACATCAAGGCTGTAGGCAGGCCCTCTTTTGCATCCCCTTCAGCAACCAGCACTGTGAAAGGCATGCAGTAGCTCCCAAGGGACAACTGAGTCCATTGAGGGATGCAGAATACCAACACAGCTGTCACTTTCCTTAAGTTAAGGTCGCCAAGCAGAATCATCCTTAAGCATCCTATAATTTAAACACTGGCCCTTGTCAGGGTTGATATAAGTTGTAAAAAGTCGAGGTAAAGAGCTTAGCATAGGGTCTGGCATGGTGCAAGTGCTAATAACTGTGAGCTAGTACTAGGGAATCAATAATTACTTGTTTCCTTTTTAAAAAAAAATTTTTTTTACATAAACTCTACACTCAACGTGAGGCTTGAACTCACGACCCTGAGATCAATGAGTTGCAGGCTCTACCCACAGAGTCAGCCAGGTGCCCCAATAATTACTTGTTTATTAAGACCAGATTCAATTCTATCTGTAGAATTGGTCTATCAGTTCTATTTATCTATAGATAAGATGAAGCAGCCCCATATCTATCAATCAATAGTGATCTGTACAGTATAATGATTAGAAGCAGAAGCCAGCGTGGGGTGGGGCAATGCAAGAAGACAGAGGACTATATGCTTGATGATCCCTATTTAAGTAATTCCTGTTTGGGATGGCTTGGGCCATTTCTCATCTACTAGGATGTACCTAAATAGGGTCATGATGGGGACCAACTTGGCGATTCTACCTACGGATAGAAAGAATAAAACACGAAGATACAGCAGGAAACATTTTTTTCAAGTTTCCTTCTATAATTTTTTTTCAGGAAGAGTTCAACTAATTTCTATAATGATAAATTATTTAGAATGATGCTTGGGGGTGGCTTGAAAATGATCGAGGATTACTATACTATACTAATTGCTATGATCAGTTCTTTGCTGGAAAAGATTTATCAACTGGATCTCTTGGGGGAAATGCCCTTATTTGTAGTATTTGCCTATTTCTCTGGTGTAAAAGTCCCTGCCAGTTTTCACCCAGAACAAATAAGATTTATTGATTCTTGTTGGGTGGTCTCCTTCCGGTCTTCTAAAAGAGGAACAACTTTATGCTCAGAGTGTTTAGAAACACAGTGATCGTTGCCCCTCTTGCTTCAAAATCCCCGACTAGAAGGGAGGAGGGCAAACCTGCTTCTCACAAACCAGCAAAAAGGCAGAGATGAGAGAATCAGTGGCTAGTAGCTGCACTTGTAACGCAATCTATAAACATTTAATAATTGAATAAAAACACTTCCAATAAACATTCGGGCTCTAAAGCTGAACGTACCAAGCATAATCATCGTATGGGCAGACAAAATTAGGCACTAACACTTTTTTATGTCCCTAAATCAGCAAAATGACTGGTGACTTTAGAACCATAACAGGGGCTAACATTTAATGATGCATGTATTTCAATTTCCGTGCCCCCCCCCCCAGTTTTCCATTTTTTCTGGCCAAAAACAACAACCTATTTTCCCATGAGGATCCAAAATACCTTAAGTAACATGTGTCTCTTTCAACTACGGGCACTAGAAGGAAAATAATGTTTCCATTTGTCCCTGTGGGCTAGCTCTGAGTATGTGGGCATGGGGGGATAGAGCTCTGTTGGTAGAGCTGGGGGTGCACCAGGAGATGGTAACCACCATGGTGGGTTGGTGGCTCACTGACCTCAGGCAGTGACTAGGAAGCTAGACATGGCCTTACCGAGCAACCCATTGCCACACATCCAATATCAACTGCAAGAGTCCAAGTCTTTGGCCTGTTTTGGCTTAGGAGACCTCCCGAGCCCCATCCACATCAGACCCCATATGTGGAGATTGGCCCTGAGAAATAGATACAAGTCTGGGAACAGTCCACAAGCTATGTATTCTGAAACCCCACTGAAATCTGACAGAGTTGCCCTATATTCAAGTGTATGAAATGGGCTTTCAAGCTCTCTTTTGTAAAGGGGTGCCTTTAAATTACCAGCAGCTGAGCCCTGCCCAGGCTGGTTTTCAAAAGAAGCTGAAGTGCCAAAGGCTAGATAGACCTAGGCAGCGGGTCGCGGTCGCAACCCACGTTCGTATCCAGCAATGTTTATGTGGGTCACCTCCACACTGGGTAACAAGTGCCCCCGCCAGGTACCGCAGTGGTGGGCAGTGAGCTGCTGGCCGCCAGCTTCTGGACTTCTCCTATAACAAAGCCACTGATTTCCCTGTCCGAGCCCAAGGACTACGTATTCCCAGACAGGAGCTCTCAACAACCTCATCCAATGAAGGCCGTGTGTCACATGCCAGAAAACAGCCCACGGAAAGCAGTTTTCCCCCCAGAGAGGAAAACACCGTTAACTCCAATGAAGAAATCATTGCTTCTGGGTTGTATATTTGCTTATCCGCTGTGCACACAGGCAGCCCGCCTGGGTTGAACTTAATGGGGCTTTAAAAATGCATCGCATGACAGTGACCTTGTTCTCTTGCATCGCTGCTTAGAAAGAAAACATTTCTATCTAGCCTTTCTCTCCATCAACCTCCAAACAGCCACGCTATTCTCTCGCTAGCAACGACTATCTCTAAAAACGTACCCAACCATCTGATCTTTTAAAACAACGAAATCTTGCAAACAGAGAAAAGGCATTTCCTTACCTTCACTCTTCATCAAGATGCACCGCATTGCCACCTTCTTTTGGAGGCATCTGTCTAGCTCATATCCAAAAAGATAGGTCAGTTGGTTTAGAAGGGGGCTGCCTTGGTGAAGAGGCCTATCATTCATTTTTTTATCCATTCATTGATTGAATATTTGCGGGGTCTAAGGACTCTGTCTCTGAGACCCAATACAAAACAATGGTGACACCAAAACGAAGACCCAAGCCCTGCCTTCAAGGATCTGTGCACCAGGTTCAGCATTCCCTGCCCCACATCAGCCCCACATCAGCAGTAAAAGCAGGCCTCTAGGAAGCCACAAGAAGGTTCCATTCTGTTCTTCCGGATCAAGTCTTCCACATCATATGCTACTTCAACAAAAACTGGAGAACAACCCAGTGAACTGTTGCATTTAGTCCTATCTTTAAATTCAACGTCTTATTTTATGTCTGATGGTTCCTTTGCAGTGGAGGGATGTCGATGAGGCTTATCACTATCTAGTGACTTTTGCCTCCCTGAACTGATACTCACAGTTACATATCACTCCTAGGTGGCCCCACAATTTAGAGAATGGACACACATCTGAGTAAGTGCTGCAAAAAGAACTTTTGTAAATTGAGTCCCACTTACAGAAGCCTGTGGTGGCATCTTTGGTTTGTATTCCCCCTTTATTCCTCAAATTACAAAAAAAATCTGAATTACTCTCTACAGTAAAACCTCAGTTGAATCTCTCAGGTCATGGTCTGCTCCAACTTTTTTTTCTAATTAAGCAGAAATATTTCTCCTGCCTTAGTAAGTAGAAACCAGTAACCATCCCCAAAGAAGACTGCAGGGTCTCAGACAAACCTTGTGATATCAGAGTTGGACCCCGCAAAAAAGAGGCAAAAAAAAAAAACTGCAAAGTAAATGCAGACTGAGTCTAATGTTATTAGAAATTTGATATGAACTCATTTGCTTGTGGCTTCATTTTTTCCTAGGGTTAAAAACAGTAAACGAATCTAGTTCTAGTTGGCAAGATTCCACTGGGCTACTTACCTTCATCACCGGCCTCCAGAACTTCCAGACTTCCAGAACCTTCACTTAGTGATTCAGCCATAGTAGGATCACTAAAGTAAAATATTGAGTGAAAAAGCAAAAGATCATCATTTGATATCCAGGGCCTAACACACTCATTTTACCTTACCCTTTATCCGTCCATTAGATTCTTAAACCATTCAAGGAAAACCAAAGAGAATTGCCATGAGAGCGAATTACCCTTCCTTAAAAAAAAGCTCATGAGGGGCGCCTGGGTGGCTCAGTCGTTAAGCGTCTGCCTTCGGCTCAGGTCATGATCCCAGGATCCTGGGATTGAGCCCCGCATCGGGCTCCCAGCTCGGCAGGAAGCCTGCTTCTCCCTCTCCCACTCCCCCGCTTGTGTTCCCTCTCTCGCTGTGTCTCTCTCTGTCAAATAAATAAATAAAATCTTTAAAAAAAAAAAAAAAAGCTCATGACTTCATTTATATGAAATGTCTAGAACAGGTAAATACACAGAAATATACATGCAAAAATGTTTATCATTGCATTGTTTTAAATAGCCAAAAATGGGAAGCAATCCAAGCGACCATTAAAAAAGGCTAATTCTCCCATGACTCTGATTCTATGTCATGGGAGAATCATCTGTCCTTATGCTTTTCTCCATCAGTACAGATAATCAATTGAGCATCAACTGTAAATTTTCCATTCAATCTAGCCTTCTAGCAAAAGCTAGGGCTGACAGGTCTAGGGAAACATGTCTGTGGATAACCAGATCTTTAAAAATCAACGCTGACATTTTTGATGGGAGTTTGTGTGGGTTGGGAAGGGGGCTCTGACCAGCACCCTAACCCAGAGAAAGGATGCTATATTCATACACAGCTGGGAAGCTGTAGAGAGGCCGGCAGAGCTGGGCCTCATAAGAGCTCCCCCTAGGGTCTTGATCCGACCAGTTGAAGGACAATCAAGTGGGGGTTAAGTAGGTTCTGGAGCCCCCTTTCCCACCCTAGATCTGCTCAGCTCCCAGACATAGTCAAACTGCCACTGCTGTTTCGTGGATGGATTCCAGGCCAGTCCTGTCCTGCCCTCCAGCCATACGCCCCTGATACATCTCCAGAAGTAGAGAGGGATGCCCGTAGGCTCTGAGGTTAAGGCGGACTTGAGAGGTCACCAGCAAGAGTGACTGAGGCCTTGGAAAGTGAACGCTTCCAAACCACAGTGAGGGCTGACAGGGCCCTGGTGTCGAGGTGGCTTCAGATCCTCTCACTCTGAAGTCCTATGATTTCCCATGGTGTGAGTTCTTTCTTACTGTGATGAGTGATAAACCCAACTCGCTCGATGACAGGTGTGTCCTGGCTGGCCTTGGCTGAAAAGTATTGACACTATGTTCAAGTCACTCAAACTCTATTTATTAGCCAATATCACAATTCCGTCTGAAGATGACTTAATCCCAAGCCCATACAATGCTCCCTAATTCTCACACACACGTGTTCCACCTGGAGATTTGGGAGGAGCAAAGGGATGGAGAAAGTCAGAAGTCCTTCAGAAATCCCGAGGGAGGACAGGAGAATTCCTTGGGCCAGGAGCAACTCACATCATGGGTGAGTTCCTGGGCCAGCATAATAAACATAGCAGCACCCCTGCCCCGACACTAAGGAAGGCTTTTTATACCCTGGGGAAAAAAACTCTCTCTGAGCTTTGGAGAAGTCCATAGAAAAGGAGCCTGTTGTCCAAAATAGCAGGCCACAGTAGGCTAATATTGTCCTTAACCCACCACTGGCAGGGGTAGAAGACAGCAAAGCAATAACCAAAGAGGACAATAGGGAGGCCAAGAGGGAGAACAATGAAAGAGGACATCTTGGTGGCATCTGAATTCCTTAAAGCCATGAATAGAATCACTCGATTTGACTAACTCTCGAGTGTAGACTGTCTCTGATCCTTCCTCGCACACTTGCCTCATCCTCCTAAAGCGAATCCCAAGGACCCTGAAGACAGCACCACCATCAGCTGAGCTTTCTCCCTGTCTCAACCAACCACCCACCCACCCACCCACCCCACACAGCAAAACACACATGGCTCCCCTTGATTTGAAATTCTCTTCCCGTTACCACCCCCTTTCTTACCACCCCAAAACTTTAAAGGGTTATGTCATCTATACTTACTAGCCTTATGTCTTCACTTCTTAGTCTCCTGGGCTCTCTCTCTGAATTGAGGCTTCCGACCCGAACTCCTTCCAAAGCACTCCACCAAAATGGCTCTTATAAATGCCACTGCAAGTCCCCTGACTTCCCAGCAACATCTGACACGCCCTCCTTTTTGCATAATTTTATCACTTCGCCTTACTGACCATCTCACTCCCTTAATTTTGCTCCAACCTCATTGGCTGATTCTTCCTCAAGCTCCTTTGCTTGATCTTCCTCCTCTCCCTAGATCTGAAATGTTGTAGCCCCTAAAGGTTCTGTCCTTGGCCCACTTTATCTATGACCGTTTCCTAAATCAGTGCCATTCAGTAGGAACATGAACATGAGCCACCACTGCAAGCCATAAGTGTTGTTGCAAAATTCCTAGTAGCCGTATTTAAAAAAGCCAAAAGAAAACAGGTGGGGTTACTTTGACCTCAGTAGAGCCCAAACATTACCATATTTTATTTAACTCAACAGAATCAAAACATTTTACGTTCTTTTTTTTTTTTCCATGCTATGTCTTTGAAATTTGGTTTGCATTTCACTCAGGCGGCACATCTCAATCGGAGCTGGCCAATTTCGAGTGCTCGAAGGGCACACGTGGCTAGGGGCTACCACATCCTAAATGACCTCGTTCAGACTTGAAGTACCATCCCTACACTGGACTCCAAAGTGTCTCTCTCTAGACTGGATGTCTCCTCTGTACCCCATGGCCCTATAACCAACTGCCTAGCCAACACCTCCAACTAACAGTGTGTGGAACTCTTGCTTCCCCTCATACCCACTCCTTCCCCCACCCCAGTTCCCCCCCACCCCGCTCCAAAAAATGCCACTAACCAAATGCTCAGACTGAAATTTAGGAGCTCTTGATTCCTCTCTTTCCATCGTATGCCACATCGAATCCGACAGTAAATCCTGCGAGTCCTCCTTGCGTGTGTTTCTGGAATCCGACCCTCTCTGGCCCCGTCTAAGACACCATTATCTTGTTGCTGCATCACTACAATGACCTAACCAGTCCCCCTGCTTCCTTGTTTGCCTCCTTATTCTCCACACAGTGGCCACATCAGTCCCACCAGCCCCCTGCTCGAAACCCCCCAGTGACTTGCCATCACGCTCAAAGTCCCAGCTCCTTACGCCCCCACCCAGGCCTTATGTGATCTGGCCCCACGCTCGTGCCCCCCCGACCACCAATCCTGTTACCCTCCTCCTTCCTTTCTCTACTGCAGCCTCACCGGCCTTCTCACCACCACCCAACACACCCAGCCCCTTTTGATCTCAGGACCTTGGCACTTGCGGTTCCCTTTGCCCGGAGGGCTCTTTCCCCAGCTAGTTGCACAATTGACTCCTTTGTAGCTTTCAAGTCAGCTCAGATGTTCCCTCCCAGAGAAGACCTCCATGACCATCCTGGTTAGAGCCTCCAGTCTCTCTCCATCACATGACCCTTTATGAACATCCTTACAGCACTCAGTACTACCTAAAATCATATTCTGTAGTAATTTACTTGTTTCTTGTCTGTCTTCTCTACTGGAATGTAAATTCCATAAGGTCAGGGGCTTTGCGTATTCTGTCCATCACTGGATCTCCTAGCCCCTAGAATGGTACCTAGCACACAGCAGGCCCTCAATAAATGTTTGGTGCACGAATGCCTAAATTCAATAAAAAAAGGGGAAGTAACATAGGAGCTGTCTTCGTGGTAAGAAATTTCCTAAAAGTAGAGGTATGCTGTAGGAGCGCTTGTCCTGGGGGGGACCCCCTTGTTTTCCCAGCTTTGCAGGGCCTTCCTTCCCTCCTAGTGAGATGGGCCCCACTCCTAGGCTGTTCATCTATGCGGAACCAA